CAAGAGGCTAAGAATGCATTTTCCAAGATTTAAAACTTTCTACATATTTTTTTAGTTAACCAAACAAAGCCTTAGTAGATTTTACTATAGACTCATACACCCCTTCAAATTCACTCATCAATCAGTATTTCTCTCACTTTTCTGATCCAATTTTCTCTCAATGTAATTAAGCAAGAAAAATGGGTTCAAACCCAGGTAGTAAAGTCAAGATTATTGTTTGAATTAGGGCTCAATCGAGCAAAGATGGTGATAATGTTGAAAGGATTTCAATTTCTAAGCCTTGGATTTCGGTTTTGAGGCCCGACCCAAATTCACACCCAAGTAGAGTGAAAATCTCTTTTGGGTCAGATCAAATTTCTAGGTCAATTTCTCAACTTCTTCTTAGTTTATTTCTTTATTTTTCTTTTAATTGGGTTGTGTTTGGCAGGTAATTTTCTTGAGTGTTGTAATTATTGGTGCTTGGTATGATTTTTAATGTTGATTATTGTTGATCCAAAAGATATTTTCACTCTACTTAGGCGTGAATTCAGATCGGGCCTCAAAACTGAAATCTAAAGCTTAGAAATTGAAATCCCATCAACATCATCACCATCTTTGCTTGATTGAGCCCTAATTCAAGCAACAATTTTGACTTAATTATTGGGTTTGAACCCATTTTTCTTGCTTAATGAGTTCAAAAGAGGAGAAAATTCAAGTTTATAACCATGATAAGTATAGGGGCCGGGTATAGATGTACTTTCAGGTTTTTTAATTAGGGGTAAAAACGACATTGGCACATACTATGTATCTGAAGTGATTTACTAGGGTTAACTTTTGTATTGACGAGTATGACGACGTTAGTGAGTGTTGACGACATAACGCCTGTTTGATAGTGCTGCTATCCCCTTGCCATAGTTGGGACAAACAAGCTATTAGTACTAGTGTACAACCATTGAAGTCGTCTAATTAGGTTCTCCAGTGTCGTTACCATTAAGGATTGGTGGAATATCATATTCATCCAATTTTGATTTAGGATTATGATTTTGTTTATTTCTTTTATTTTTGGTTTAGTTTCATTGATAATTTATTTAATCTCATTTAATTTGGGTTTGACAATTTGTAAATTTCATACTTGATATTTCAGTTCATGGATTTATGGTGTATAGTTGATGGATATAGATGAGCACGAAACTGTTGAAGTTGTAAGTTTCTGGTGTATACTTGATCTCAAACGCAGACTCGAGCTATTGATCTTAGCTTTCTATCTCTTCCGTTAACTTATTTACACCTTAATTGGGTCTCCTCTTTCTTTCTCTTCATTTTAGATAACTACATCGTATTTCAGGTGAATAGAACTTATCTGAATTTATCGGAACTTATTAAACCTTATTAAACTTGTAAAATCTTATTGAACTTATTAGACCTTATTGAAATTATTAGAACCTATTAGACCTTATTGAAACTTATTAGACCTTATTTTTAGATTTGATTATAACTTATTAGATCTTATTTAACTTATTGGAACTTATTAGACCTTATTTAAGTTATTAGAAGTTTAGAACTTATTAAATCTTATTGAACTTATTAGACCTTATTGAAACTTATTAGACCTTATTGAAATTATTAGAACCTATTAGACCTTATTGAAACTTATTAGACCTTATTTTTAGATTTGATTAGAGCTTATTAGAACTTATTGTAACTTATCTGAACTTATTAGACATGAAACTTATTTTTATAAGGTGAAGAGAACAAACACTAAAATGCCATTTGATAAACATTGATCAACCTGGCTGGCTCGAAGAAGAGTGAGAGAAATACTATTCTCTTCGTATTTTATTACTTGATCCATTTATAATATTTATTTGACTTATTTTGGACTAATATTTGTTATTTATAATAAGAAAAAATTATAGTCTTGTGAGTACTTTTAGGAATCGTCTCAATAAATAGATTATTAATTATTAATTTTTATTATTTATAATTATTAATAATTTAAATAATTATTGATAAAAAATTTACATCAGCATATGTGCCTAGGATAAATGGAGCATTAATAAAATACGGAAGGAGTAATCTGGCCAAAGCTTTCCGGCTCTAAACACATAAAAGCCACACTAATTTTCTTTTTCAAACAAAAATAAAATCATTAAAAATAAGCCTCGTGAGGCCCTTATCAATAATAATTGGTTTTTACTAATAAACAAACAAACATAAGTTTCAATATGAATTAATTTCTATTAGTAAAATTAATTTAACTTCATCAAATAATTTAAGTTCATCAGATAAAAGTAATTAAGTGAATAAAATATGGCTATAATTCAAATGATATTAATTTGCTGAATTTGAATTATTTTCATTAAAATTAAATTATTTTTACCGAAATTAAATTATATTACTAAACCTATATCAACTATCATTAATGATTATATATTTATATTAATTCACTATTAAGTTTGTTCTTCAGTTGTTGTTTTTTTTTTTGTTTTTTGTTTTTTTTTAAACAAACGGATAATGAGTAAAATCAATTTTAGATTTAGATTATTTTTCTTTAAAAAAAATTACTCATAATTTTAATCATTAAATCAATTTGATCGATGCATGTAACTCACAATAAATATAGATCAATAAGTATAAATACAAAAATGAATCTCTTTAATATTATGGCTCTTAAATATATCCCCACCCTAATAATTGACAGAAAAAGTTATTGTCAAAAAAAAAAAAAAAAAAAAAAAAAAAAAAAAAAAAAAAAAACCAGAAAAAGTAGGTCTACTCTCATCATTTTGTTTGAATGAATATCGCATTATCACTTAAAAACTCATACTTTAACTCATAATACCCTCGTAATAGTGTTAAAATCTCATCCTTAAAATCAAATGGGATGAACGTGCAATGCTACCGACATATTCCAAAGGGTCACGGCCCTACCCGACTACCTTATCACCAATATGGCAATATCCCTATCTACTTCTTTACCTTATAATTTATAATAAAAAGAGGGATTTTATGTAGTCCAGGTCTTTATACTATACATATAAGTGGCCCTTTCTTACACAAACAACGTGAGCCATGCTAGATTTTTGTCAATTGCAATCCCTTACATTATTGTTGTTGAAATGTTGAATTGATTGGGAACCACAATGGACACACCAAGACTTTTTATTCGATCTTTGGTTTTGAGTGTCACCAGATATACTTTAACCAATTATAGCTAGTTTTCTCCACATTCATGATATTGTGAAGGTGAATTATTGGATAAGATATGGAGTAGTACTCGTATTTACATTTTTTGATACTAAATGATTGAACCATTTCTCTTTTGAAGGTCAAACTTTATAATTTTTGACCATGAATTATCACTATGATATAAAAGATTATATAAAACCTTGTTAGAAACATTTAACAATGCACAATTATAAATATTCAAGTCAAAATAGTGCGTTGGAGACCATAAAAAAACAAATGATGCAATTATTTACTCTGTAATAACGGAAAAAGTGTTTCGCAAATATATTTATCATATCCGGTCCAAAAAATAAATTTAAAAAATATAAGGAGTGAAACATGATGACTAATTTTCTGTCAAAAAAATAAAAAATGATGACTTATTATTATTAGATTAAATTTTATTTATTCATTAATTTGGTATTTTGAGGGATTTATTTATTTTTTGTTTGAATGGATATTATTCCTTGGGTCTTCATCAGTAATCATATATATATTGTACCTATATATGATTACTGATGAAGACACATGTGCATTAGTTTCGACATAGTGATTTGTTTACTTCCAAGAAGCAGTCCACCAAAACTCCCAAGGCATACTTGCTAGTTACTACTCGTAGAGTCGTAGTACAGTAGGACATAACGAAGTTTATTAGTGAAAATGATATCAATTTCAATAGTTAGTTTTGTACAACCAGTACTAGTAACAATGTAGACAAAAAGAACACTTCTGTGACATATGTGATATGTCCCTTTAGAAGAGTATTTTATAGAGGAATTATTATTGCTAAATCTAAGAATAAGCAAAAGGTATAAAGAAAGTAATGAGCTAATTATGGTAGTTTAACATCATCTAGAATTCATTTAATTTGGAAGAATTGACTTATATGACAACACCAACTACAGATAAAGTGACGAGGTTTTACAGAGCAACACCAACCAGGTGTAGAATGTAACATCAACTATAATATTGGGTGCATCTAATGACATAACCACATAAATATTGGGTGCATCTAATGACATAACCACATAAATTTAGCTGAATTTTGGTGAATCTTTGTAGTTTTTGGCAGTGACAATGCAATTGTTGTGAAGATATTTTTGAAGATAATTAATTGGATTAGTGATATTGCAAAGTTTAAGTGATATTTGATTGTGCCCTTTCAAATTGAAGTTTCTGCTTTCTTGTACACTCCTACATTATATAGTTGCCAGTTGGTGTTGCTATCTTGGATTGATCTATACAAAGGCAATCGAATTATCAAAATCAATAAAGCTAAAGCAGCTTCTAGCCATTTGATTTAAAATGAAGATGAAGAATGCATTATTCATTTTGTATACCATGGCAATTGCAAAAGACTAGCTAATTGGTATATATACTTTGTATAAATATAACTCAATATTTTATCATCAAACACTTCTTACATCTAGTCATGTCCATTACATTTTTGGTTACATTAAACCCTTCTGTTTTATCCAATTCTATCTGGTGCACCAAAAATAAATAATGTACACATAATATCCTTCAGATTGATCCAACATCCCAGTAATCTCCTGCTCTTTTCACCCTTTTTTGACAGCATCTTGCGTTAAGGGGACTAATTTAATGACTTAAGTTCTTGAACTTCAAATTATAACAGGAGTGTGTGTCAATCATGTATCACACCTTTATTCTAGTAATTGAGGTGACCCTGTCCACGAATCTATACAAGTTCATCCATAGTTCTTATCTTGTCCTCCATACATTCCTCAGCCGAGCAGCCAATACTCAATACCCTATGCTTCAACTGTGCCTAAGAATCAAACAGGCTATAGGATTCTGAATATCTGATTAAGCAATGGAAACATCTGCCCAGAAAAGGATTCAAAGAATAACGGCCTAAATATGTTTACAATTGATTTATATAGCCATTCATATCTCATTTTCAACCCTTTTCGTTTAATCTGTCAGCTCATTACATAATTCTCCCCCAAATATTTTACAAATCAGCTCTATTTCAGACTATCACTGGCATCAAAGAGAGTAGGAGGAAAGATAACTCTCACGGTTTTGTTCAAGTACCCTCATTGCTGTTCTGCTTCAGGAATTGGAGATCCTTCATCTGTAATTGTATTGCTTCTTTGGACAATGGTTTAGGCTCTTCAGGAAATTCTCCCTCTTCACCGCCTTCGGCTACTTTTCTGGCTTTATCTTTGACTATTCTTTCAATCTCTGGCTGTTGAACACTGGGAAAGACAGCTCTAAGAATAGTAATCAGTAACCTTTCATCTTCTTCTTCAATCAAGTCCTTCCCAAAGCAACAAACATATATAGCATCAAGCGCTTTCTCAGCTCTTAATTCCATTGGGATTGTAGGAGCTGCAGCATTCAGTTTAGCTCTTCTCTGCAGTATCACTCCCAGAATGTCATTGGCAAGAATACATGATATGCATCAAATACATAATTTTCACAAGGACACATGTAACAGATAAAAGTGAATTTTTAACTTCCTAGTATAGTACCAATATTCAAGTTGGGCTAGAATCTGATACATATAAAATTTTCTAAGCTAATGATTAAGCCCATTCCGATTGCCCCATAGAAGCATAGCTGAAGAATTCATTTTAGCAAGTTCTGCTAACATAGAGTGAGTTACAAACTAATAATCAACGATTGGATTCCATTATCCTTAGGCTACAAGTAGACTTGAAGATGCCAAATTCCAAACTGTTATATCAACATGCTTGAACATGACATCATTGACATGAATTGCATCGAGGGAATCACCAATAGATCAGTTTTCTCTTTGCAATGATAGAAAATTTACTTTTCATTGTTTCGTACTCATGCTTGAACACAGTGGTCTTGCGGTGACAAAGCAGGGTAACTAGACAAGTTTGGCAAGTCTTTGGGGTATAATATACACAGCTTAGCTAGACATCTATAAAATCTAATTTCAGTAACACTATGCAGTGAAGGGGAAGGGAGAAGAAGAAAAAAGAGGGAAGGATTGACCTTCCATTTTCCTTCCTCCAGCAATGGAAGAATTTAGGTTATTAAAAGGGAAAGGAAAATGGATCCCTCAATCACCTTTCCCTTCCTTAGCCCTATGTCTTATCCTTATAAGAGGAATAGTTCACAATTCCCCTTCCCTCCCCATCCTTCCAAATTTTCCTATTCCAAATATAGTGTTCCAGTATATGTAGCTCGACAAGTTTGATGAGTTCAGGGGGTATAGTACTGGATCTGGAATAAGTATGTATTGGCAATTGTACAAGGCTGCATACAAGACTCACCCATCACAGAGCACTTTGCATTACTAATGGCATGGTATTGCCGGTATCTGTAACCAACAATTGATACAAGTCTAATTTACGAAAAACATCAACATTCATCCACTGTCAATCATCTAAGTATCTTGCTTTCATGGTATTCTTTTCATCTACTTCACCAAAGATTGTATAAAAGCTGACTGAAAGCATAATTGTTGGAAACAAGAAACCTAACACTATGTTTGGATAGAGAGAAATGGAGGGAAAGGAAGAGAAGAGAAATGGAGAGATGCATTATCCTTTGTTTGGATATCTAATGCAAGGGAGGGAAGGGGAGGGAATTGGAAGGATCCATTTTCCTACCTCTTTAAATAAATTAAATTTATCCATTGTTGAAGAGATTTGGAAGGAAAATGGAAGGCCATCTTCTCCCTTCCCTCACCTCCCTTTCCCTTCCTTCTTTTTTTTACCCCTTCCTTTACCTTCACTATTGTTATCCATAGTGTAAGTGTGTTTGGAGTGAAGGATATGGAAGGAAATGAAGGGAAGGGAAATGGAAGCATGTATTATTTTTCATTTGGATAACAAATGAGGGATGAAGGGAATTGGAGGGAAGAGAAATGGAGGAATTAAATTGTAAGAAAATGATCTCTCCAACAATGGAGAGATTTGGAAGTAAAACTCATTATTATGCCCTCCCCTCCCTTTCCCCTTTCCCCTCCCTCCCCTTCCCCTCTCTCCCCTTCTTTTCCTTCCCTTTTCATTACTCAAAACAAACCTTCTAAAGCATAATTGACACGAGAGGATAGAGGCCGGTACACCGCAAATCTCAACCCATCAAAAGTAAAAATATGAATATGATATTACAAGACTTGTTAATATAGTTGAGTCATGACTCACTATACCTTCTCTTCTTCATCCAATTCAAGTTGTACAACGTAAAGAGACAACTTTACAATAGGTGACAACTTATATTCAGATATCTTAAGTGAGTTTGGATAGATAATTGGGAAGGAAATGAAGGAGAGGGAGGGGAAGGGGTGGGAAGGGAAGAGGAAGGAAGATAGATGAGTTTTCCTTCTAAATCTCTCCATTGTTCTCCCCCTCCAATTCTCTTCCTTCCTCATTTGTTATCCAAATGAAATATACATCATCCTTCTATTTCTCTTCCCTTCCCTTCCCTCCATTTATTTCAATCCAAACAAAGTGTAAATTAGTATGTGTGACTACTAATTACGGACAAAGAGAATAGTTCACACAAGATATTGAACACATAGGAAACAAAAGATAATGATATAGACTTGCCTCTTTTGCTTCAGTCATCTTAGCAATGAAAGTCTGTTCTTCAAACTCAATATCATTTGAAAGACGAAGGCGTGCAACTCCCTCCAGAATTTCTTCAGATTTAAGTAGACCTGCACCAATTGCTGCTAACCAACAGCACAGTAGAACGTATAATGGTTCCCCTATCTATCACAAAACCACAATTACCACCCACAATTACATATACAACCACATAAATAACATTAAATGACATTGAAAATATGAAAATTAATAACCAAAATCACCAAACATTCAATAACAAATAACAATATATAAGTACAACTTTTTATCCGGATGTAGTGGTCACGTCATCACTAGTTTAAATTACACTATTGGCACCCTACATAATCAAATTGCTAGTTCAAATTACTAGTTCAATTTACTCTATCATTATCCAATTATAATACTAGTTCAAATTACACTATCAGCACCCTGTAAAATTACTAGTTCAAATTACGGCATCCTATTATATCACTAGTTCAAATTACACCATCACATCCTACTAATAAATTAATTCCGAACAAAGAGAGAATAAATGAATCAAAAAATTACCCGGCCGCGGCGGTCTTGGAACTCATAGAAAGCTCTAGAATCATTAACAGAACACTTATTACCAACCCTTCTTCGAAATTCAGCAAAATCAATGATATCTCCAGCAAGACCACCTTCATCATTAACAATTCTAGCAATGAGACCAACAATGGGTAATGAACCAATAACTTTGTTTGCAAAACTAGAAATTGGGTTGGTGTTTTCAATATATGCTCTAATTACTGAGAAATTGGTTCTTCCATTTGAAGTTGGGTGTATTCTGAGTTTTCTGGGATTTATAGAATTGTTGATAATTTGATGGAAAGTTCGATTATTTTGGGTGGTAATGGTGGTGGTGTAGGAGTGTTTTGCTGAGACTTGGGTAGGAGATAGAGTCACTGCCATGGTTTTTGATCTTTTGAGAGGTTCAGATTTCTCCAAACATATGCTAGTAGGATAGTAAGATATTACGACTACATTATTACGAAATACGATTAGTGCATTTCAAGGGTTATCTAATACTTAACCGCGATAATTTTATAGGAAAAATTGCTAAAAATAATACAAACTTTAACGGTCCGTAAATAAATTAATCATATTAGAATAATACAAACTTTAAAGAATATCCGCTTAAATAAATTATGACCGGTTGGTAATTTGGTTAATAGATCATGTAGAACACGTGTCATTGTTTTATTGGTTAGACAATTTAATTTGTTTTTTTTTTAAGTTTTATAATGTTTAAAAAATATTAAATAATACGTAGTATTAATTACTTTATTATTATTATTATTATTATTATTATTATATTATTATTTATTTTTTTATTTTTTTATTTTTTTATTTTTTTATTATTATTATTATTATAATAAACACCTACAAAGTCAAACGATTTACAAGAAATTAGTAGGGAGCCGAGATACAATCTGGGCCCCCACCCCTCTAGCTATAGCGAACCCAATCCTGTTAAAGATGTGAGCAGCCGCACGAGCACCAATATCCTGAGTCCTAGCGAACTCCTGAACCCGCTTCAGCAATGCAACAACATCTTTCTCTGATTTCCCCAATGAAGAAAAGGAGAAAGGGAGAAAACCATAGCCAATAGCCCTGCAACGCGCCCCATACTTGTCTCGCTTCCGCTGAGCCGCAACCGCCACAACACGACCAGGAACGAAGTCAGACAACCCAAATTGAGTCAATGGAGAAGACCCCATCAAGTCAACACATACATCTAGGCCTCTATCCCAGGAGTAAAGCAACACATCTGCTGGCCGAAGAGCCCCGTCGTTCCCTCCAGTCAACCCAACGTTGACCTCCTTCCTTGCAGAAATCCCAGAGCGGAAACAAATATCAACAAGAGTATCACGAACAACGTTGTGCCGATGTTTAATACCCACCATCCCAACACAAGACACTGCATGATCCCCATAAATATCCCCAGCAAAAACCCTTGAGCAAGCAGAACAAGGTGCCGAGACGGAGAACAAGGGAACACCCAACCGGTAGCAAAGAACACAACGGTAAGTCTTACCATTCTTAATCTGACCAAAACCTGATATCGGGACCGCACGCAACCAGGCAGAAGTGTGATCCCCCTGCTGGGACTTTCATAAGGCAACCTGACGCGGAGATAAGGAGAAAGTGGATTCTGCAGAAGCAGTGACCTTTGTGAAATATATATCTGCCAATTTCTTCATGAGTTTGGGGGCAGCGATCTCACTAGGGTTACGCAAAAGGTCAGTCTCCACAGTCCTATTAAAAAGACTAAGAGCGTCGTCGAAGGCCGGACCTGGACCAACAATACCAAAATTGCGAAGAAGCGAAGCCTGAAGACCAGAAGACTGCAAGCGCGACGCAAGGAAAGCATAGTGTCGAACATCACCCGCTGAATAGACACCCAAACCTCCATAAGAAAAAGGTAAGGTGGCAAGTCGCCATTGCTAATCACCAAAACCTGGTCCCGAAGCAGTTACAATGCGCTCCACAGAACCTCGAAGGGCCACATCAAAAGAAATTTGGGCCGCTTCAAAAAGACGAGGAGGACAAGTGCGCATAGAAAAGTAGAGTTTTGAAACTCCAGTACACGCACGAAGTAGTAACAACTCACATTGGGAATCCTCAAGCTTAGCAACAGCATCCATGAGCACAATGGTCTTCGACACTCTCTGCGAAACAAGCTCACCACAGAAAGAGGCATCCGCACTGACAGGACCCCCAAGCAGCTTAACACCATGAGCAGGACGAGCAATATCCGGAGGAAAGACACCGGCCAGACGGCTACGAGGGTCCTCCGAGGGCCAGAAAACTTCCGTTTTCTCAACGTTAACATGGAGGCCAAGACGAGGTCCCTCCACCAAAATCAACTCCATAACCTTCCCTACCACCAAGGTGTCACCAATAATAGTGTCATCATCCAAATACCAAGCCTGCAAACATAAGTTGAAAGAATCCCTAATTCGACAAACCAACGGATGGAGCACCAAAGCAAAAAGCAAAGGGCCAAGAGGATCACCTTGCTGCACACCTTGACATGACCTTAAGGTATGCTCCCCATAATAGAGCCTGGCTGGAGTAGAGTAACAAAATTCAACCCAATGCGAAAGAGCTGGACAACGGAGACGAACCTCACTCAGTAAAGCCGTACGATCAACCAAATTAAAGGCATTCCGGAAATCCACCAGCAACATAGAGAGGCCTACATCACCACCTCGAGCCTCAACCAAACGATTAACAGCATGAAGAATAGCCTCGCCACCTGCTGACACCCCAACACCAAACTGAAGACCTCCTAAATAGTTCCCCATACGCGGACCAACTAAAGCAGCCCCAACCTTTGAAACCAGACGCCGCCAAACAGTACCCACAGCAATAGGACGAATACCACCACCGGGCTTAACAAGGGGCGTAAGAGGAGCACTAGCAATATACTCCCCCAACTCAGCCGGACATTTTCCTACGAGAAAGAGATTAACCACCTGCGTAATAGAGCCCACCAACTCATCTGAAATAGCGACCGCAGCACCACTGAAGCAATCAAGAAGGTGCTGAGCACGCAAGCCGTCTCTTCCGCATGACGTACCACGCGGAAAACCCCTAATCTGATCCAAAACAACAACATATGTAGCAATGAGGGGCTGTTCAACGGGGATATCCGGTAAGATTGGAGCCGGAAAGGAAGGGTGCTTAGCTTGTAAATCATCAAGAGTAGCATCATTGTAAGGGGCAAGACCAGAAGACAAAAGAACCCTAACCGCAACAGTGTAATGTCCGTCACAAATCTTTCTCTTACACTGCATAATATTTCGATCAGATAAATCATGCGCATCATCAGCTTCCAACAAAGGAAAGACACATCTGCCAACGTATCCCGCACAAGATGCATAGAATCACCGTGCTCACACCAAGAACGAATAGCAGCGGTGATACTCTCTTCCTGCCGCTGCCGCCGGACTCCCGAAGAACACTCACGACTACTCCTCGGGGTAAAGGTTTTAAGAACACAAAGAGGCAACACAAGTAGTTGAACCCAACAAGAGACGCTATCAGGCTTGCAAATCACCTTATCAAGCGCTCCTTTGAGAACCCGAGAAAAACCCAAGCGACACTTAGGAGGAATAGATTTCACCGAACGAAACCGCTTAGATAGAAAACGATCCAGGAGAGCAACATCGAACGCCAAAGGAGACTGACGAGGTGCACTAGGAACAAGATCAGATACCTCCGAAGAAAGACCTTGTGGTTTAGGAAAACCATAAAGAACAAACCGAACAACGCCATCCCCCAAATCAGGAGGGTCCACAATATCGTCCGGACCACGACCATGTCGACACTTCGAACGAAAAGTATGAGTCTTAAAACACTCCCCACAAAGCCAAATGCCCATACGCCGGAAAGTTGACTCCGCCTCTAAGAAAATAGCCAAATCAGAAGAAAGAGAGTGTCGAGTCATATCTCGCGCATCCCCACAACAATGACGATCACGAAGATGAGTGAGCAAATAAGCTTTAGTGAGGCCATTACCCCCACCATCCAGACACCCGTTTAGACCCACAAACGGACAATGAAATCGAACCACATGAGGCATAACACCCACCACAACACCCACGAGAAGAACACAAAACAACGCACCAAAAACTACACCGAAATAGCACACCAACTACACACTAAAACCACACCCAAAAAGCTCCAAAAACTGCACCTTATATACACAACAAAACTGCACACGAAACTGTAGCACGAACAACACCACGAACGGCTCTGAAAGCACACCCAAACTGCTCTAAAAAGGCACACGAAACTGCTCCAATAGCACACCCAAACGGACCACCAAATAGCACCCAAACCTGAGCAGGAAACAGCCTGAGAACAACCCAGAAACAAAGCCTGAATTCCATGAAAATTCGCCGGAAGATCGAACAAGAAACCACCCGAAACCTGAACCACGCATGGGACTGCAAACAGCCGGAAAAATCACCTGAAAAGGCCGTCGAACCTGCCTGGAAAACGCCCAGAAACAGCGAAGAAAACTAGCTGAAAAACAAACGAAATTCGCACAGAAGTTGCCTGATGATTGTCGCAGAAAATCGAAAGAATTCCGAATGAATTACGGCCAAAAACTGCACCAATTGAAGCGTGGAAACCGCCGGAAGATAGCCTGACCTGACTGCCGCCGGAGTGCCCTCCCTGACCTGACCCTAAACGACTGAAAAGGTGCCGGAAAACCAACCCTACACCCCAGCCCTAAACGCCCTAACGAGATTATTAATATTATTATTATTATTATTATTATTATTATTATTATTATTATTATTATTATTATTATTTTAACCCCTTCCCTTTCCTTGGCGCCCAAACCTCCGGCGACACCCTGCCGGATCCCCAGCGCCTCTAATGCGGCTGGCGACCCAATAGAAAAGTACTCCCCCGACCCATTTCTTCCACCACCACCATTTTCGTGACCTTCGCTCACTTCCTTCTCTGTCTTCTTACTTTTTTCTTTCTCCTCTGAAAAAATTAAAACTATCAAACTTCCATGGAAATGGAGCTTAGTAAGATGACAATGGAGATATTCTCCAAGCTTGAGCAACAATGGATTTCCAGTAATAACAACAACAATGGAGGAATCGCTACGAAAGCGAGGATACTTAGCATCGATGGTGGAGGAACCTTCGTCGCCGTTGCGGTTGCCTTCTTAGTTCATTTGGAGGAGGCGATTCGGGTGAAAACATGTGAATTGCTGATTTTTTCGATATTGTTGCCGGAACTGGAATCGACGGTCTTCTCGTGGTGGATTCTTCCGGTCGTCCGATGGTTACGGTGAGGACACGACAAAGTTTCTTGTCGATATTTCTCTGCGATGTTTAAGTCGATGATGTCGAAGGATCCCCAGGGTGGTTTCAGGAAGGGTGTTTGGGGAATGGCTACGACAGTGGCTGGGAGGTGGGGGAGATCGCCGGCGAGAGAGGGGGCTGGGCTTGCTCTAGGCTGCTGGCGGGG